TAATCAGTCAGGAGCTAATCTTTTTTGTTGAGATTTCACAAATCTCTCTTTTTGAAAAACTTCATGGACAGGTAACGTATGAGAAGCTAATATCCATTAGAAGACACCATAGCGTAGAAAAGGAAGCAAACGCTTTTTTGACTTCATCACGACGCCGTCCTAGAAGCTCATTATTACTGATGCAGTAGACAACTATTTTCCTACTGGAAACATTTCCACGCTAAAAGAACGTCGTTGTCAAGGAGCAGGACATTTCCATAGCTGCCACTTCTCGTTTGCTTACGGTCGCTAACCAAATGAAGGCTAAGGACACGAACATCAGCCTTCGATACGGTACTGGAATAGCGCCAACAATGATCCGTTTTCTTCCTCGCAATTCAGTGAACTAAAAGCACCATATCTTCTCCTGATATCTCTACTGCACTAGAAGAGTGTTTCGTTATTCTACGAAGATGTTGTTCGAAACAAACCTCTTTAGAAATCATTTCCGAAAAATGATCTTAACCAATCCTCATGTAGGTAGTCGTCTGAGACCCTTGATTGGGTTCCGGTACACACTGGAACCTATGCTTCTCCAACTACTAACAGTCACTGTTCTCTTATGCCACTTTGTAGAATGTACGCTCGCAATCGGCAGACTCGAAGTGCGATGATCACAACCCACATCACAGTTGTCCCTGGCGCCTTTCCGTTGTTATTCCGTAGTCAGTGAACCCTCTGCTAATCGACGGATTGTTGTTTAACTGATGAAGCACTTGTTGCCCTCATCTACGTTTGTTTCAAATCTGCGATTTTGCTTCAGTCAATGTTGACTTTATTGATCGATGAGTGCCAGTGAGGAGGATAAGAGGTGCGATCGAAAGAGATTGGGAGCTCCTGAGTTGCGCCTACGTTGCCATTCGTTTTTTCCAGTTCTTTCGAAATTACATCGTTACACATTCCTATGTGTAGGTAGGAATTACATCTTCTTGACGTTTCCTCCTTCTATCGATATGAGTTTTTCACGCGTCGAAGGTTCTACTCACTTAACTCAGGGTACTTCCAGCATAGGAACTTGCTATGACACTACATTTCATTCTTTCCTTTTCATTTATGGTTTTGTAAAATTCCTTTCTTAGTACCAGTATTGGCACAAATTATTTCTCTATAACAAAAGTGTTCCAATGTCTGTTAAGACTAGAGTTAAAGTGTTAAAGAACAACATTGTAAGAGAGCAATAATAACAATATCAGGCGAATGCCTTTGTACAAGGTCGCCCGCTACCTTGGAATTCTCAAGTTCAAAGATAGCTTTGTTCAGTTTTCTCCCGAAAGAGATCTCAACTAGCCTTCATTCATCTTGTTTTTCTAACAAGCTCCTGTTTTTATCGTCTTGTGGCGTTGTTCAAATCACTTATTTTCGTACTAAAAACATGTGACAGAGGTAATGTGGAGAAATTTGGGATGCCTGTCTGTGCGTGTTTTTCATAGTTTGACTTTCTTAATGATGACATTGGTTTGATTTGCACTTATTTTCTGGATGCGATTTGTAAGAACTTTCGTTCCACCTTTTTAACAACTCACTAACCTTACTGATTCCCTTGACGTGGTTCAGTTTCGAAAATGAAGTGCCAGGAAGAATAAAGAACGTTACTGATGGGAACTTGCACTATTAATGGATGTGTTTATATCGAATAACCTTCATGAAATAGTTGCCCTCTCAATGATTACTTATCTTTTGAATCACTCCTTGTAAGGCTCTCCTCTAAGGTCACCTCTATTTCTTGAAGAAATAAAAAACCACTGCATTTTCTTTTTAGGTGTGTTCTGTGTTGAGTCATGTAAAACTGACTTAATCCAGTTGAAGAAACACGTGAAAACAGACGAGAAGTAGTCACAGAGACAACTGGAACGAAATGATTAATAACCCACCTACATCTCAGTTATGCCTTTGGTCATGGCGCGCATTCAGAATCACTCTTATTCGTTCGATAAGACCGCAGTCGTTCAAGTAGAGATTACAGTTGGTCAAGTGAGTTTATCCCGACTCCGCCTTCGGTTTTGACTCAAGTTACTCTGATCCAGTTGCTGAAGCGAGGTTCCACCTGTTGGGCAAGACTGTAGGATGCCACAACGATCAGAACTAACTAGTCATGCGATCGACTGTGTAATAACGTGGTTTCGATGATGCGTGCCGACCACTCGGCTGGACGCAATCGTCCGCCACGATCTCATCTGACCTTACCTCCTCTACCAAGTTGTCGGTCGGAGGGCAGACCCGTGCGCAAGACGACGACACTGTTCGGGCCAGGCGCATTCCTAACGCAACATATTCGCAACAACCTACGATTCCTGTTCTATCCGTCGTTGACGACGATTCGCCTTATATCGCCGCAATCCCATTGATTAGTTTATCAATGGGACTCTGGAAATCACTAGGCGGATTTTTTACTTCTTCAGTATCTGTCATATTTCGGCATGATTTTACATCTCAGTAAGTCGTGCAAACCGTTGAGGCCCTTCTACTCGACACACTATTGAAAGCTCATCAGCAAGTGCCTCGTTTCATAGTTAAAATGTAATCTACAGCCTCCTACACTTCCAACAATTTAGATACTATTATTATTAGATATCCTCTCATTTGTGATCTCAAGCGTGTCGATAAAGTTTGCACTACTAGCACTACCAGTTATTGTTGTTGCTAGTTATGGAAGTGCTTAGAGCGCCAGCAAATCAGGGACACAGTGGAACAACGTGTTTGTTGATGTGTTGCACATTTAGTTCCGGTGTCAGACGTTTTTCACTTTGTTTGATCGTCTAGTAAGAGTCGGCCAAAGCTCTCTGCTGTGATTCGACCTCTGTGCTACGGCACTTCTTCAGGATCTCCACCCTACCAGTTTCCACGGTTTGCACAGTGCGCGCTCTCACACCCGCGCTGTAGATGAATTGATCCTCCTCAACCTCAGACCGGCCCCGTTTCCCCTATGCTTCTTCCGCAGTTTCTCCTTACCATGCTTTTCCCCCTACGTTTTTGTCTAAACGGTATAATATGAGTTTTACTTGTAAATGCATAACTAATTAAATGCAGGACTTTCATGCGCGCTCATAGGAACGAAACTACTCTGTACTGAATATCTACTGGCTATTTGTAGCCTTGAATGACTTATTTTTTTTCCAGTTCTGCATTGGTTTTTCTGAACAGTAATATCATAAGCCTACTGCTTCTTAGTTACATCATTTTTTCTTTCGAAATAAAAATAGAAATCAGCAAGGAAGATTGTAGAAATGATGAAGTATGGAGGAAAACTTTGTTCAAATGTCAGCATTTTTCCGTTTTCCTGATACGTTTTTCGTTTCTAATTAAAGAACTTCCGTAAACCTCCAGACTTATGTATTACCGCCTAAGCCGTCTAAGTTCAAGCGATTTGGGGACATCGTGGCCTTGGGACTTCCGTTCTTTAGACATCAAAGTACATCGTTGTGGATCCTTAGTTATCATAAAATTGGAACCCTATTCCATTTCCTGACGTTCAGTGTTATCGGCGTGACGATCTTCGTTGTCAGTGCGGTAAACATCCATTCATTGTGGTTGTTTCCCAAGCGCTTAGTAAGAGCGAATGTTTCGGAGTTCATTCCGTTTTTCGCCTACAGTTAGCTTTCATATTACGCTTTCGTAAGGTAAGCATATTCACTCATCTGTCTTGGATAGCACTTTGTAGCTTAGATTTCACCTGGCTTTTTTAAACACCGCCGCGTGTATTTCATTTCAACCACTTTTTTGCATCTGTGAGTTATCCACAGAGTTTCACGTAGTCTGGTTAGCCCTACTAAAGCAGGATTTTCGTGATGAATCCATTTTATAGGCTTAAACAATTTAATCATTTTCCATCCATCAATCTATTTTTTTATTTTATCCAATCTGTAATTTTTATTTTAGATATCCATTTTACATATCTTTTATCCTTTTATGAACATGTGAAATGTCGTATTCTTTCTTTTCTCATTTTTGACGGCTGCAAGAAATCTTTGCCTTTGAGTTTTTGAAATTATTATCGACATTTCTGAAGGGAAATTTTATTCTTTAAGTGTCATAGTTGTTGCTCCTTTACCTCGTTATGGTTTACCTCCTTATCGGGACTAAGGAGGATGGCATACATTATGAAGGTTCATTTTTTCAATAGTGTCATCCAACCAGAGAATGGGTTCTAGATTTCCATTTGTTGGAGTGGTGAATCAACGTCGACAGACTTAACAGACGAGCTAACTGTAGCTATGTCCTCCCCCCCCCCCCCCCCCCCCCCCCCAAAAAACCTGGAAGACCTCATACCAAAAGTGGATGTGGGATCCACTTTATACCTCGGAACGAGTGGAGCTTCCTAAGCAGCTATAAGGCGACTAGGAGGTTTTACTACCCGACAGCAGATGACTATAAAACAATATATACGTTGTTCTATGTTCGAGTGCTATAGAGAAAACCTCCCACATATAGGAAGACTCTTACACTCCTATAAAAGGGTTGAGAAGTCAAAAATTTTACTACTTTTTTAAATCATAAAGGATTTAACTAGAAATACAACGTAGGTAATACATGAAGTGAGCAAAGTACTTTCTTTATGTGCTGTCCTATTGTTAAGTGTAACTGATTCAAGAGCAGTGAACAAGGACATAACGGTTTTATGAGTGAGGAGCAACAACCGTCGTGACAACACGAGTGGCGCCTCCTTACACTGCATTGTGTCAGCTATCATGCTGAGCATGTGGTGCGACCTCTGTTAACTGGGACGCAGAAGCCGAATTAGTGATTAAACATCGTCGGAGATGGCTTTACAGGCCATTCATGTCCTTCTACTCACTCTGTGCTTCTTCTCGGTTTCTGGATACTTGGGATTTCGATAGTAGTTCTTTTGTGGGTGTGTCATTGTACGTCTGTGGTGTGTGTGTATGCATGCGTGTATGTATATGGTGTGTGTGTACGGTGTGCGTCTGTATGGTGTGTGTGCGTGTATGTGAGCGTGTGTATGTATGTGGACACATGTGACGGCCGTCGGTCGATGTCTGCTGGCGGATGGTGCCGACAGCCGGTTGGCAGCAGCAGCAGTTCGCGGACGGATAACGTGGGTAGTTTTGGCGTGTCGACGGCGGGCGACGTCGCGAAGCGGAGCTCCGACGACGCATCTCATGCCCGACCGACTGCGACCCTATGCAACTGTTGCTGCTCATTTTTCATTCATATAGAAACCGTAGCAGATTCTTTTTCATCTACCGAGGGCGACGACCACAATGACAGTCTGCGTAACTTAGGTTTTTGTCGCCAGCGTTGCGCATTCCATGCTATACTTTGCTGTTAGCTATCGCCATTTTCACAACAAGGTGAAATCAGATTTATTGATCGAATTAATGGCAAACTAATGTATTATACTTATGTACTTCGCTCAAGGTCAGCACAATCCTCTAGAGTACTATTTCAGGACAGAAGTACTAAGGGCAAATTCGATTCGATTAGATGACTGCAAGTGGATTGCTTCTTAGTGAAACTGCACAAATAGTGTAGACCATAAGCATTATCCTCCAGATGCAGTTCAGCAGCTATCAAAGGTTAAAAGAAAGTGGGATAAAATAGACAAAACAGCATAGTTTCAAAATCCTCACACACTTGCATGAGTGTCGTAGGTTGAAGTAAAAATAGATTTTCTCTTCTTTCCTCTTTTGTCTCAGTGCAATCGAGAAGTAATGAAATAATTCTATCATCCATCAAGCAGAACGTATTACATTTTATATACGTTTGATCCATCATTAGGTATCGTGTGAATCCCACATACAACCATTTTCACTTGACTACTAAGGTATGCCACTCACCGGCATTCCGCCTGATGTTTCTTTTATCACTTATTTGACCTTCAGAAGGTCTTTCTCGAGGACTCTGTACACCAGAGGCACAGCTTTCGGTATATGAAAGTTCCGAGCACACTTCCGAAACACCCGTGTACTGACGTTTGACTTACTTAGGAAACCTAAATATGACTCTGCTCTATAGACCTGTTAGTCGTCTATTTGGTTAACCTTCTAGGTTAACCATTCTCCGTGTTGACCAAACGCCCCAAAAACGTTCGTTTCAATGGTGATGCGGCTTCCATGGTGGGCGATTAGCTCTTTTTACTACTGATGTTAATCGACCCTATATGGTTTTGTGAAAAATGAGTTTTCCTATTGAATCATAGTTGCGATTGCTTTTTTTTTCCAGTTCTATGATCATAATCTGTACTTTTTCGAGAATATTGCGACATTATCGACGAAACGAAAGTTGATGAGGAATTTCACGCCCCGCCAGATGTCCTTTTGTCCATAGTTGAGCGGTCGTTGTGTCCACTGGGATGCAACCACTGACAGCTTTGGCGAAGAGGTACCCCTCCGTGTGAACTGCTTTTCTCACTCTGAATTGCTACTGATCGGTACAAAAACCATATAGCGTTTGATTTCAATAAGTGTTTATGTGAAGCAGATGTGCACAATTTGATTAAGCGATCTCGATGGAATTTTTCTTCAACGCTGTAGAGCAAAACTCAGCAGACGATTTCGAGGGCTGGAGGGTTGCAGTGATATTAATGTTGTTTGGCAATTAGCCTGTGTCATAAAGCAGATCGATTTCTACTTTGAGTGGTAATTATTGCTAACATTACAGTCGCAGTTAAAGTTAAATTGGTACTCGAGGCGCTGGTTCGATCCCTCCCCAATGCCAACAAGCTTCTCATTCCATCGAGGTCTGCAAATCGGTATCGGAATTGTTTGGGACAAGCTCACTCTCCTTAATCCACGTGGAGATGCCCTAGTATGGCTGACTCAATTAGTTATGCAGTGGTAGTAATTATTATTAGCGCTACTAAGCCTAGAGGGGTACTCCGAACTCCTTCACTGAACAGTGATTTCTTCAAGCCGGGGGTCTGATGTCATTTGTGTTGTGATAGTCGGATGAGGCAGTTTCTGCCATCTCGCTGAGATACGTCGAGATGCTGTTTGTTCTAGAACGTTTGTCTGGCTTTAAACACATGGTTGCCGATCAAATTGCTACGAGAAGAGTGTGGTTTGTGGTAGGTTTCCAACGAAAACATTGAGGTTTAACAATAGGGTTGTGGAATAATGAGAGTTTACTTGGTATTTGTCTGTCATCGGTAACGTGTACTTTTGAGAAGTCGCATCGTTTCCGTCTTCACTGAGAATTTGTTGAAGCGTGGTATCTTTGAGGGTTACAACGACATGTTTTTCTTCCCTTTGGTGCTTCATGTATTCTCATGTGCCCTTGGTATCGAAGATCTGTTGTTCGTTTATATTAGGTATGTCGGGCAAGCTTATGTGTTGCTTACGTTTCAGTGTAATCTTAATTTTCCTTTTCTTTCAAAAGTACTCATTTTTTGAGATTCACAATTCGGAATACTGCTGTCGTTGTAGAGATCATTAGTTTCTTCCACAGATACGCTTCCCTCTTCTATAGGTGGCTGTAGTTCTTCAGATTTGTCATCATATAAATAGTTTAGCTCATATACCGTTGTTGGATAAGTTGTTTTCCAGTTCTTATTTGCATGAAGCTTTTTCCGAAGATCCGATATTTACGTGCAACATTGTTTTGCTCTAATTTCCGGATTCCTTGTTGTTTTTAAAATTATTTCATTATCAAAGAAAATTGGTGTCCCGGGAAAGTCAGACGTGAGCTGGGTTCGCTTATCCCCTAGGGCAATATTTCCTCCACAAAAAGAAGCACGGCAATTTATGAAGTCTTCTTTCGGAGTAATTTCGTGTTTTATTTCGAGTTCTTGAGCAACAATGCAATTTGTGAAGTATTTGAAAAGGAAGACTATAAATGATGGATACTGCCCGGCAGTCCTTCACAGAAAGCATTTAGTTCAACACGTTTTCAAATTAAAAAGTATCAGTGAACGATGTTGACATTTTCTCTAACGTTGATGGATGGTGAATAGTATTTATCACTCGATTAGCCAAATGGACAAAATCAACACCGTATCATTATGGACTTATTTTGTATAATAGACCATTAATCGACTCATGACTGGCTTCATGTGCACTTCTTCCAGTTCTTCTATTGATTTATTATGTGCTAAAAAGCTTTAATAAGTGCTCTGCAATCGGAGTTAGACTTTTTTCTTTCTTTTTCTCTTCGTAATATAGTCATAGACTCTCCAATAATGGTCTTCAGAAAATCGCCACTAAAGTTACTACTATGACAGAAGAATTCTCGAAGTCTACTCAGTTTGGAAGTGTTGGAAACTGTTGGAAACTAAACAGTCTAGAAAATGAGTGAAACACACCCTTTATATTGGTGCTCATATGTTCAAATCCTTCACTACCTTATGAACCACCCGACATTTCATGCTAGGAGGTCACCGCTCTAAATCCACAATGACAACAACCCAAGATCTACTCCTTTCTTAATGATGTCACGGCGTTGATCACCGAGGATGGTAGAGCTGCTTTACATGAAAATCCTAGAACTGACCACGAGCGTTTTACTCTTTCAGAAGTGTTGTATGCTTTGGATGAAAGCATTTCTAGGTTTTCATCACAGCTTTATCTCACCTTTAACCTTGTAATTAATAGAATACTTGAATTTGCCTAACTTATAAAACGCCGGAAGCCAGAAAAGTAAATGCACAGTGCAAACACAATAATGCTGAAATATTTGCAAGACTCCGGATAACAGGAGTCTGCGGTGTGGATCTAACTCGATATTACCCTTTCCGGAAGCTAATGCGTTCACCAGCACACAGTGTGGGTCCTCCGTTCCCCCATCCTCTCATCTAGTTTTCTACTCAACAGTGCTTTTCACATAATACCCTACCGTGAAAAATTGCAGTAGGCAGTAAATAAAAAATGAAAGTTATGAAATGGTTGTCTACTATTAGTCTATCTTTTGGAAAAACTTCTCTTTTACCTAGTAGTACCTTCAACGGGAAGAATCCTCCTGCTGAGCACAGTTCTATCTCCACGAGAAGAAAAACGTGACGAACGTTCCAAATTTACAGTAGTTTCACATTTTTTTAATTGCGCAGCCAATCTTCAGTTTGTAATCTCGAAATTAAACATGTCTTTTCACAGTTAGCCTCCTCTCAGGCGCTTTCATGGGCGCGTGTGGCGCAGTGGCCGGAGGCGCCTGCAATACATTTGGGATCGATTCTCGCGCCTCTGGCTTACCAAGCCTTCCATCCCTCCGAGGTCGGTAAATTGTTGCCATACTTGTCTGGGAAGATTGCAGCACTGGATCGATACATCGGTGGTTCACCATGAGTCATTATAAGGGCTAGATATGCATTCAATCATCTCCAACGGTGCTTTATGAAATCGAATGCATGGCGCATCCCTAAGGGTTTGATCAACGCCGAGAGCTTTATCCTTTATCCTTTTAACCTCTTTTTTACCTCGAAATTCTAAATTTTCGTTTCATTTCTGGCGCTTTCGCATTCTTCAATTAGATTTTTCCGTGTTTTAAGACCTTTCCTTTTCTCAGGACAGTTTTTACCGTTATTGCCAACCAGCTCACACACACCTTCTATCTTTTCTTTCAATTTTCTGCTTTTGCACAGATCTTTCTTTCATAGACCGTTAGATGACAGTTTTCTAAATTCTTTAGCTGCTCTTCGTTATTTATGAGGAATTCCGTACATGATGGAAGTTAGTCCTTAGGATCTGCATCGATCGATATCTTGCAGAAACCGAATTTTCTGGAGTTTCTAGCATCCACTTAAAGTTTACAAAAATCAAAGTGAACTCAATCGCTATTTATGGCAATATGTCATATCTTGCGGTAAAATCTCATTTGTGAGGATTTCCACATTTCAAATCCTAGCTGTAAATGGTGGTTACTAAAATTACTTCAGAGAGAAACCCTATTCAGACTTTAGGAATGATTTTTGCCCGCCTTTAACAGATCCATTTCTCAACGAATATGGAGCTTGAACTATAGCACTGATAAACCTCAACATTGAAAACTATTCCTGAAACTGACCACCTAATTCTCATGAATCTTTCTGGGTATCCAGCTCTTAATGTATAGTCTTTTCTTTATTTCTTCCATTTTATGAAATATTTCAAAGTGACTAACAGTTTAAAGCGTTCAATACTAGAAAACGTCCATGATTATTGAATAGCTTAATGTTTGTAGTAAATTTAATGTTTTTAATGAGATTCACTTTGCCGTCTACCAATGAACAATTTGCGAGTTATGCGAAAGGCGACGGGTAAGCGTACTCTCGTCATTGGCAAGGACAAAGGCACTGTTTAAAATGTCGTCGCCAACAGTCTCATTCGAACATTCCACTTACTGTCATCATTTCTATTCTGTCTGAAATATTTCTGTATTCGATCAGCACATACATACTTTTACAGGGTTTATCGATTTTGAGAGTTTTTGTACTTGTGTTCTTTTCATGAAGGCCTTAAAAAAGTCGCCTATTCACCTACAGCCTAATCGATCAAATATTCCCTCAAATATCCATTAAATGTAATACATTGATATCTATCAGTCGTCCGCGTCGTAACTGATTTGCAGACTTCACTTGGTAAGCACAAATTGTCTGCAAAAGCTAGTTTAGATCACCTCGTAGCATGAAAGCAGTAGCCGTTTCTGATTTGGATACTGTATTATCATCTTACTCTCGTCATTTTTCATGGACAAGAACAGAACTGCAGGCAATATCGTCTTAATCTTTTAAAGAGAATATCATGAGCAGTGTGATAAGTAAGATGAAGTAAGTCATGGTTGTTGTGGATGGCGGATCATGCTGTGATCATCACTGTATTTCATTTCCTCGCTCCACCGTTTCTGTTCTACTTACTTCTTTCTTTTCTTTTATTTTTTCCGAATTAGTGTACGAGAAGATTTATAGTTCACCATTTGTCTACCGACACTTCGCACTATTCACATAATAGTGCTACAGTCATCATTTCCTGTTGAAAGGAAATTACCTCATTCCAGTAGATTATTCATAATTTTTGAATACTCATCAACTGTCTGCTGATAGCATCTAAAGAAAGCGACAATACAAAGACGTTTTTACTATAATAATGAGTCGATAACCCGAATAACGAGTATATATAAACATAAACACGCGTACATATATACATGCAAACGAATACACAAGGTTACATATAAGTACAAGAATTACGGAACCAATACACACAAAATGGGACCTTTATACATACACACCCACTCACACACGAGGATATAAACACATGTACATGGGCATGCATACACACACACAACACACGCAAACATATGCTCATAGACGCCCACACACAAACACACACGTACACACAGTCATAGAAATCAGCACACATACGGATTTTTAAACAATATTCAGACACTCAAGGATACACATATATGTACACAGTCGTTCATACACACACACCCATTCTCTTTCCCACACACGCACATACACATACACATACAAACACATACAATCGTGGAAATGGACACAAATACGGACCTTTAAACCATACACACACAGTAATAAATTGTCGCGGCTGCAGTTCTACGACGGTTATTACGGTATCGAGGAGTGCGGCGAGAGCGCTTTCCATTAATTGGGGCATTGACGAGGCCGGACACCTCAAATTCTGTTCACCGCTATCAACAAATATCGTTGAACATTGTTCAGTCGTGGAATTCGTTGTTCACTTTCCACATCTTTATCATATCAGATGTCACTATCCTACTCTTTAGATTAAATACGATATTGCTTTTTTACTATAGAAGTGTATCTATCATATTAAATGAACAGTGATTATATTTCTGGAGTTCATTATTTCTAATTACCTTCTTTTTTTATGAGGTACACAGATATTTCCCGCTTGTTATCAGCATTATCATTATAGTTTGCCAGTCTTTTAAAGGTAGCTATGTTGTATCAATAAGAATTTCATATTATGAAACTGCAGAATACTAGTAGTACCAACAGTCTTAGTAGTACTACTAGTATTCCAGTAGTACTAACAAGCAGTACTAACAGTATTCGAAATGGCAAATTTGCTCAGCCTGCTGACCTGTTCTCACCTCTTTGAAAACTTAATCACTTTAATAGCCACAAGCGAAAAGGAAAGCATCGTTGATAGCTCAAATAAAGCAAAACGGAACACGTTTAGATGTTTCCACTCGGTCGTACGTTGACGTACTACGAGACGCCGTTGATTGGTCGGTTGTTTTTCTTCATGGTTTTCGTATTTTCTCGGTTGCTTATTATTTATACATTCATTGGTGTTTCTCGTTGCTTTCGCTGTTGGCATTACACTTTTTGCAGCCACACTCTACACTCACACTCATTTTATGTGTATTTCTTCTATCGAACGACATTCCCTAATCCTTCAGAAATCCCGGAGCTGAAATGTTGATCAAACCATTTTATAGGTCGTCAGTCGAGAAACGTTCGCAACGGCACCACGAAACTCGTCCACCGTACTAACCCTTTCGGGTTCTCAGGAAAAGGTAGCTGTAGAGAATCGTTGTTGTTGTCGTTGGTGTTCCATACTCATTTTTAGTTATCGTTTTGCGGTAGTTCCACCTCATTCTAATTATTCGGTGATTACAGTGCAAAACCGTTGCCTAGGAGTTAGTTTTTTCTCCCAACTATAACTTACATGTTTGTGTTTTTAGTGTCTGTCTTCGGTACTCGATGCTGCGTCATTTACTTACTGACACCCCTGATATGAGTGTACCGAATAACAGCGGAATGGTAAGGTTTTCTCTGTAAACGTTTAACTTTCATCGTCGTATAACTGTATATTTGTAACCGCAAACTTTCGCGTAGATGTAGTTTGGTTTTTTAGACTGGTTTTCTTTTTTATAATCGAAGGAAAAAGTTCAAATTTGGTTTCTGTCAAGGAGATATGGCGAACTGCATGACAAATAGAAGTCAATACTTTTGACATTTGTTGTCAAATATTAAGAGGTGGCTCCGTGACAAATAATTTCCACATGAAAACCTCAGGACGGCGACAAGTGTAATTAAAAACTTAAGGCTGATTTTAGATATCGTGCCAAAGTTGGTGTTTCAAATCTTCGAACTAACCTCAGATATTTCTGGTGGGCCTTTACACTACTTGGCTTTGCAGCGTTTTGTAAAATAGCACTGATATGACGTCAGTGTCATAGAAAAAGGTGAAGCAGTAGATCTACAGCGTTGAATTAATCTCTGTGAAGCTCATCATCAAGTTCGTGCTCCATCGACCAACTTTGTGATTCGGTAGAAGTCATTTTAGCTAGCATTGGCACGTACAGACACCAGGCGATGTCAAACCTATTAAAGTCAATCGAATGTTTCCGAAGAATCTTGAAAGTGATTGTGTAATAATTAGTGAAAAGACCGGAAGAGAGTTTCTTTACCTCTCTCCAAGGTTACGATGGTACTCTACGGCTTCTTTAATTTTGTCGAAGACTTCGAACCAGTGACCGCGTTGATGATGACGCCGCATCATCGTACTGCTCTATAGTTCTGTTGCTAGCTCTCGCAGAATCCGAAACAGTTTCTGATCTTCGTCATGCATTATATGCATAGACAATCACTTATTGTTTAAGTCATCCTTATCGCTAGCCGAAGAAGTGAATTTAACTCCCATTCAATATGCATTTAATGATAGTTTTTCTTAATATTACTGTATAGTTCTATAAATGTGAAACCTATTAATGTTTCCTACCGTACAAGTAGGAATTCCATTAATGATGTCTAGTTATGTCTATCAAGATGTTTGCATTCGGTTTTTGAAAGTTAAAAGATGGGAAATCCAACTCGTTTTCATAGATGTATTCCATTTAACCTCTATTGTCATTCCCAACCTTCCCACCCATTGGGCTCTGAAGTAGTGATAGCGATGCCGTGGAGAAAAGAGCTGCACGTGCAGTCTCATTCCGTTATACCACTTAAAGCTTATCAATTTATGTAGAAGGTACGCTAACAAGAAGTAGAAGTTATAATCTCACTGACGACTACTTTGTATCGAACAGAGGAAATTTTGGCACGTTTCACTAAGGTCAAAATTGAAACTACTGACTTCGAATGCAGAGCACAAGTCAAAAGGCAGCTTTTTAATGCAAAAAAATCAAAACGGCACATCTTCCTTGCTTTTACAAACATGGACTGTACCCCTGGACTTTTTAAATCAGGAGTTTGTGGTCTCTGTATTCGTGTAACGTTCAACCACAGCCCACGCGTTGGCAGACGCAAACTTCATATTTTTTTTGATTCTGTTCCTGATGTTTTTCTGAATCTCCTGATTTCGGATTTACTTTAAGAAGGAGACCACGTATAGCATGTAGTACTATCATTGTCGATAGAAGATTGAGTTTATTGTGCTTTTATTCCCTACATTTGCATGCGCATCACCTGCATGCTAATGCGAACTTTCACGGGGGGCGTTACCAGGTATGACTGTACAGTCTCCGGAGCTAAAGTTATGACCGCCTTCTGTGTCGCTCCCGTTCGTCCTTGGGCAGTCGCGATCCCGAAGGATAAATTAATGGAGAGTTTTCACTGTCGCTCGTTCCCACTGCCGACCGCAACTACCTGACGGCGATTGATCGCCCGTATGGGGTGATTGTGTCGTCCCGTTTACTGACGGCGATCTGTCCGCACAGAGACCGAAGACGAGAATCTGATCGCCACCACCGCAGCAACGAAATTTCCTTTCATTCAACGCTTATGCTTCCCATGATCCGTCTCTTCATGGTCACCAAACCATGGCAAGCCTTCGATATCAAAGCCCATGTAACGTCATGGACGACTAAATGAAATGAGATAGCTACAAAAGTACTAGCGTTACTTAGTAAAACTACATCATGAACAGAGTAGTCATGTAGGTAAAATTAAGGGAAAAGTATGAAGGACCGAAAAATAAAAAGGCTAGCTCTTCTATTTCATCTACCTGAGCCGTGCGATAGAATGCTGTTAAAAACTAGATTTTTATTTGAAGTCATTAAAGAAACCATTTCCGTCGATTGTTAATTAGGCAGTTCAAGACTAAGCGCATTAGTTATCACTCAAGCAAGTCTCTAGGGATCACAGTATTTCTCCTTTTCTGTTGATTGACAGGATGTGTCCATCCGTTAGCCTCGGCTACTTTATTCTTTAAAATCACTCTATCGGAGAAGTAAAATTTTAGCAAAGAGGATGGAAGAATTAGTAACTATTAATAACAACGAACCAGTAGTACTACATAGTTGTGCGTTCGCGCTCAATGAAAACTTGCATATCCACGGTTAACAAAAGGCAAAAGCTTGAGTGGCGCAAAACATTGTATTAGAAGACAATTTATACGTAATTTGAAAATTTATGGAGGTTTCCGTTTGATTTTATAAGCGAAATCATCTGCTAATCGGAAAGGTCAAGCGGAAAAGTGCTTTGATCAGTAAACCATTTTTTGTGAATCTTCGGTCATTAGCAACAAAATGGGAACACAGTTCTTTCTCCAACTGTCGAAGTCATCATCATATCCCGGACTGCTAAAGATCTTTCTGAATCTACAACTAACAGTAAATCAACATTGAAAAATTGGGTACTACACGTCCTTGTTTCTACTCAACCGCAGAAGTGACATTCCAGTAGCGTTCTAAACTTTCATCATCAAGCCTGATGATTTCTTTTCTTGAGACATCCAAAAATAAGAGTTATTCTGGTTTCTTTACTTGTTGAACGCTAGTCAGCACCGCTTTTTGCCATCATTTATTAAAAAAGACATAACTATATACTTCATAAGGGCGCGTGTAGCGCAGTGGTCGGCGGCGGCCTGCAACACACACATGGAATCGATCCCCGCGCCCATGGCCTACTGAGTCTTCCATCCTTCCGCGGTTGGCGAATTGGTACCAGACTTGTCTGGGAGGATAGCAGCACTGGTTCGATACATAATGTTGGTATAACAATAATTGCACTCAAAACTGTGCAAAAAATTACATGACTCTTTCCCATGGTGCAGTTAAAACAATAAAAAAATCATGTCCTTTCCAAGATTTCTCTTCTAAACAACCGCACGGATGCTTTCTAGAAGTTTATCTGTTTTAGGTCCTGCCTCCACCAGCTATGGATCCATTTCAATGGCAGCAATATCCACAATCTGGAGCATCGTCTTCTGTTTCTGGTACATCTGAACTTTTTAGGTGTGTTTAACTAAACCACTGTGTAATTAATCGAATTTAAGGAATTTAAGATTTAATATGATTTGACAGATGTTAATAATCTAACGTGTTGTATGTTTTTCTTACTTCATTACAGTTCGACCTTCGCTATGTTGAGCGACACATCTTCAGCACCGTATCCAGACCAGTGCCACGAAAACAAACTAGGTCATTGTTCCAGCATGTGTTTTCTTAAACGAATCAAGTGTGCAAAAGTAGATTAGACAGGAAGTGTATGTCTGAACATATTGGTATACAGCCTTATACGAGCACTATTGTTTATTACTACATTCATCAAAGAGCGTTTGGTAGCGTGCATTTTTAACATTAATAGCAGGTTATAGCAGATATTAAGATAGTCGCAGAAGATACACGTAAGACTATTCAGGCGTCTCATTCACATCTTTAAACAACTAGAAGAGAAATTTTTTGCCGGTATTTCGTTCCGCACAGTGTCCACCAGGATCTGCCTGCTTTAAATATTACTGTACTACACTCACGATTGGCTTCTAGAGAGAAGCCATGTGGAATAGAACCACTTTATCTATGAAGTGACTTCTACTTTTCGATGGCAGGTGCATGGTCTACTGAGAATATCATTTTTATGAATCGTAGTATATAACTTCAGTTTTTTTGCCTATTATTCTTTCATATCAAAGATTTGCAAAACTCGGACCCCTGCAGAGATGTGAGCCGCGATTACACTTTCTTGGGGCTCACGTTTACCCGTGGCACCACTCAGGTCCTCGTTAGCAAATAACTTTATGGGTGTCATTACTAACATGGTTACCATATGTTAATACCTTATCCATCTTCTTGTATCATGAGCCGTTTGTAATTGGTTAGATGTATCGTTTTCTGGTTATTTTTCAATTTATGTGATGAATATCAGTGTCAATTTTGCTATTCACGTTGTTGCGTGCGGTGAAAGCGTTGAAATCGAAATCTTACCTATGTAAGAGAAAACGAGCCAAATAGCTTTCCACTTCTACCGCTGTTCCGTAAAAGAGTTACGTTAGCCTTTTTTATACCGGAAACGATTTGCTCGTCCTACTTCTGAAAACTATTTGGACTGATATTATGCAACGTTGAGGTTTCAGAATGCGGTTCCACATTTTGTTTTGATGCCATGCAAAGTCCATATGGTCATCCACAGAACAACATGTACTATCCGATGCTTGACCAGAGGTGAGCGGAAATGTCTTACATGATCTTTACACTTTTATGAGTCTTTTATCATCTAGCATTTAGCTCCGAAGTAGTTGGCTAAGTAATTATTTAAATTGCTTAATGTTTTGCTTCATTTTATGATCATTACAAAGAACCATTCGAACTAATCAAAGTGAAATCCCGTTTTAATTGGTAGCTTTGTTAAACTTCTCAGGAGAACTTCATAGAAGAGCTGTTAATGAGATGAGTGCCATTCAGTGGCACCTACTAAGTATAGCGCTCTAATAAAGGTAGGGAAATCCTTAATCTTTGACTTATTGAGCAACCCACAGATAAACTCATATGAAGGAAGAAAAACAGGACAAACTCAACGATATTTGCGCCATGGCCTCTTTCTTTTGTAACTTTGCTATGTTACTTCTTTTGTATAAAAGTAGACATCAAAGTTTTCCGTTACTAGGCGTGTAGAACCCAGTAGACAAAGGCTTAGCGAAAGCCAAAGCTCAAAAAGTTTGCAGCAGTTGGAACGTCTATAACAGTGAAAGAAAACTCGTTTGCTAAAAATTTGAGTCAAAATTAGGAATTGGTTGAGAACTACTTTATTTGGTCATCAAGGAAGATGTGCAGTGTGCTTTTTCTTAGTCATGAATAGAGGCCAAAGAAAGATTCAGAAGAAATGTAATCAAAATAGTTGACATAATCCGTTCATACTGTGGCATATCACCAAAGTAGAGCTTTTGCCGAACGTGCCGAAAATGTAACAGCTATGCTTACCGGATTCTCGTGTTTAAAAAACAATCCTAGGTGTCAAGTTCCATATTACAATAGACATTTAGCGAATGGTCGTAACCCAGATAAGGGGTAAAAGGCAAAGATCAATTAGTATTCAGTGCAATTACTGTTGGAAACATCGCATTAGGGACCAGATGTGACACAACATTACCAATGAAACTCACTCCGCTAGCCTTAAAAGGATGAGTAGATTTTTGAAATTGAATAAATACGAAGACGCTCGCATTTTCCTTGAGAGAGAAACTGAGAAAACATTTGCCACGATACGCGTAACATTTTTCATTTCGATATTGAAGAAGCTTTGCGGCCACAAGCATAAATACTACGTTTTATGTTGCAAGATTACTACGGTACAATTGAAGTGTTCGTTGAAAGGATAAACGATAAAGCTCTTGGCTTCGATCAATCCCCGAGGGATGCACCATGCATTCGACTTCATTGAGCATCGCATGAGGTAATTGAATGCACATATGCCCTTTACAATGACTCTTGGTGGCCTATCGATGTATCGAGCCAGTGCTGCAATCCTCCCAGGCAAGTCTGATAGCAGTTTGTCGACCCTGGAGCGGCGAAGGGCTTGATGAGCTTGGGCGCGGGCATCGATCCCATGTACACTGCAGGACGCCTCCGACCACTGCGCTACGAGTGTCCTGCAAGTGCTATCATTGAGAAACAAATTATTATTAACGGATATTACCAACAACATCTGTCCTGTTTAAATGAGCGCGGCCGACGAGGTTGCCTTATTCGAGCGGTCCTCCATTGAAGAAGATTCTACCCAGTAGGACGACAAAGACATCGCATAGAGAAGACGATCGACTGTGGATCACCGACTTGAATCACCTGCTGTGATGGAGACGAAGGCGGCGAGACTAGAATTAACATACCGTTTCGGAGGCAACTGTATATATCTGTGACAAAAATCCACTTTTAACCAGGAAATCTCTCGGTTTTCTAGAAAGAATTACGGTTTTTAAAACGGTATTTTTCGAAGTATTGATCGAATAAGCAGACCATGATTATTCCTTAAGCGTTACTTACTCACTTTTTGTGAAAATATCTGAGTAGTACATATGTCCTTTCGGAATAAAAATTACTCCGTTCGGGCCACTCAAGCAGGCGTAGAAGATGAGAGACTGATAGCTGGAATCTATCCTAGAGACTCGCGGATCATCGTAACAATATGTTTGCGTGTAATAGATGGGAAAAACTTTTTGAGTATACGATATGATTCACTATTTCGATGACACAACACATTTACGAAACAACGTGCTTCAGATAACCCATCATAACTAAGAAGGAAGAGACGGGTATACGGCTCACCACCGTTGGTCAAGTATTTCTAATGTTCCTTCAAGCTCCATAGAGTTTTACCTAATTCAGCAGAGACCTTGGAAGATATTACGAACTTTTTAACAGAAAATTCCAGCAAAGTCTAGTCATTTTTCTGCTTGGTTCCTTGGCTTTTGCAATCCGTAACTTCAGAAGAGACGGTATGGCGCGCGTCAGTGGTAGCGTCATATTTAAGATGAGCTGTTCCACAGGGCATAGAGTCACGACTATTAAATGCTAAACTAGTTCATCAAACCTAGATGCGGTCTTTTCTATCAATGATAGAATAAGTCATTTCTGCACATGGAAATGATTAAACAAATACAAAAATGAGGACTCATTGATATTTGCAAGCTGATTGTTAGGCTCATTAACCACACTTGACTACTCATTTAGTCAAGCGGAACCTCACTTTTCAATACTGGGTGATTTATCATCTTCCTGCACGTCTTTTAAAACCGGAATAACACTACTTCGACAACTTCTTTACAGTTCAAAATCAAGAGGATTTATTTACACCAGTAATTTACACTCATCAAAATGCACATATCATCAAAGAAGTTCACTACGAAATTTACTAGCTTATCTCTTGAAGAATTTGAATTCATTCCATAATGTCTACGAGAGGAACCACAAATTTAAGAAGAACCTAGTGTTCAGTTTTCTCTAGACCATAAACCAATGCAGCTCTTGTTCGTTACCTTGCTGACGAGGTCCGCGCAGCCCACTATGTTCCATAGCCTCGTGGACCATATACTCCTATTTAATCTAAATTCTCTGTGAATTTAACATAAGGTACATTACTTGGAAAATAAGTTTAATTGAAGAGATCGGTAGTAAAGAAGATTTTTATGTAATAGAAAGAAAATTTCGAGAAACACTCGTTGCTCAAACACATCAGGTATACGGAATACTTTTGAAAATCATGAAACATCACCTCTCTCAAAGTGAAAAAACACTCGTGTTAGCTCTAATGATGCTAAGATATTTGCAAAACTCCGGATAGCAGGTGTCTGCGGTGGGCAACGAACGCGCTATTGTCCTTTCTGGAGAGTAACGCGTTCACCACTACACCATGCGGGTCCTTCGTTTCGCCTCTCTCTCAGCTGGTTCTATCGATCACTTGCCATCGGCAATCACCTGTCAATTAGAGTTATATTTCGCAATATACCCTGCCGTTAAAAAGAGTAGGCAGTAAATAATAAGTTAAAATTGTGATTATAACTATAGCTTCAGCTTAACTGGGTTCAATGCCGATTTGGGATCCCCAGATCAATACCGTTGACGTGTGATTGCTGATGGCAAGTGATCGATAGAACTAGCTGAGACATAGGCGAACCGAAGGACCCGGATGGTGTGGTGGTGAAGTGCGCTACTACCCGGTAAGGACAATAGCGCCCGCTCGTTCCCCACCGCATACACCTGCGGTCCGGAGTTTTGCAAATATCTCAGCATTATATACGAATTAATGTGAACATTATAAAACATCTTCGAAGATTATTTCTTAACATATTCGCGGACCGTATAAGTTCTATGAGGACGGGTCTAGCTCGACGGTTCAAGGTACCTTGCAATACAAACGTGGTTTTTCGTTCAATCCTGTCCACTAACCTCATCACGCTATCCTTCTCCTCTGTGTCGGCGAATTTGTATCCAACTTCTTTGCGAAAACAGAAAAGCTTACCTGATGCTTCGATTGGTTTCGGCGATAGTGTTCCATAGGCAAAAAGTCTATTCACTCACCTTTACAAAGTCACGAATGGAATAGAATATACGGCGGATCCACAAAGGATTGATCAACGTTGAACGATTTATCTTTTACGATTCCGGTATGACTTCCCAAATACAGCAACATTTTCCTATCATGCATGACTGCTTCCATGCACATGTCATGAACATGACTCTTAGAATAGTTTTCAGAACTCGGCTGAGTAGTTCGATTCCACGTATCATATTCTTAGGGGGGGAGGTCTACTTTCAGTTAATGTCTGAAGCGTCTTGACCCATTTGCGAAACAGTGTCATGTCATCGCCTTTAAAGTACAGATGGAAATTGACGACAATCATTTATTCACTTCCTAGTCGTCAGAGGTCTTTAGTAAAGGCCGTTGGGCAGCTACGCAACGATCACAACGATGGAAATGAGGTTATGCTTCTAATGAAGTTATAAATTCTTTGCGGAATTTGTCGAAAAGAACTTGCAAAAGCTTTTGTGGCCTAATATGATTTGGATAGGCCCATTCATCATCCGACGTCTTGGCAATTCTCGTGCTCACAACAACAAAAACCACGTGCTCGTTGCTTCCGATTTCCGCTGACTACCCGCTGTCTGTGTCTATCCGAACGAGGTTCAGTGTGAAACTCACTCACGATTAGGTTTTTCTTCTTTTTTGCCTCTATTGTCTCTCTCCACGGTGATTTATTTGGATGGAGTAGTGTTTTTCTCAAGTGAAAATCTTTTTTCTTCCTCTATTTCTTCTTTTTTATCTTTCGTAACTCTATACAGTACACTAATCGTGAAAATATTTGCTTAGCCTGTGGCCTCCGCCTTTCTTTGTTGCCCACTCGTCTATCAGCAGAAGGTAGAAGATAGCTAACATTTGCATCTACAAAGCTCAAGCCTCCCTTAATTCTCAGCGTTCCATGATGATTTGAAAAACAAGAATACATAGTGGATTAATACAAAGTGTGTGTTTGTATTTGTATGTACGGCAGTGCTTGGTGAAATATGAGTGAATGTGTGTCTGTGTATGTATATATACGTTATTTGGAAATAAATGAGCGTCTTAAAACATTTCTTGCTTTAATATATTTTTTTTGCCCGATATATTAATGTCATTGCGAACTGACTTTCCTTTAACGTACATATAAATGATCACTGCACCTTGTTTTATTGATGAGCGAACACGTTGACCCTGGTCATTACCGATTATGTTAAATGATATACATGATATATACGATATATGGTTACTTACTT